TGATGGGTTTGCACGACCCGTGGCCTTCACCTCGCGAAAGATGAATTCTGCAGAACGGAATTACCCAACTCATGAGCAAGAGCTCCTCGCTGTGGTCCACGCACTCAAGACCTGGCGGTATTACCTTGACGGCTCCCATTTTATTGTGTATACCGATCATGATACGCTCCGTCATTTCCCCACGCAACCCAAGCTCACTCGAAGACAAGCACGTTGGATGGAGCTTCTACAAGAGTATGACTTTGATTTCAAGTTCAAGCGTGGCGCTGACAATGTCGTTCCTTATGCCCTCTCTCGGCGTCCGGACCACCGCGTACCAAACCCCCCACCCCTCTCAGTCAATGCACTTGACCTTCAAGCGGACACAGGTTTGAGGCAGCGCCTGATCGAAGGGTATCAAAACGATCCTCGTCTTGGCCCTATCTATCAAAGCTGCCTCCGAGGCAAGTCACCATCCCTTTACTCATTGTATAATGGCTTATTGTATGTTGAGCGGCATGGTGATACCCTACTCTGCATACCAAAGTTCTCTGACCTACGCCTTCTTCTTCTTCATGATGTTCATGATGCTGCCATTGCTGGCCACCTGGGGTTCGATAAAACGTACACTACCTTACGCCGCCTGGCCTACTGGCCCAAGATGTCTGTTGATGTCCGTAACTACGTGGCTTCTTGCTCAAGCTGCCAGCGAAACAAGGCTGTTCGTCGCCTTCCTGCCGGTCTGCTCCATCCCTTGGAAGTTCCTGAGCAGCGCTGGGATACCGTTACCATGGATTTTGTCGTCAAGTTACCTATGACCGCCCGAAAGCACGATGCCATTACCGTCTTTGTAGACAAGGTCTCAAAACAAGTGCACTTCGCCCCAAGTCGCACCACAGACACCGCCACCGATGTTGCCAATTGTTTCTTCTCCAACATCTTTCGCCTCCATGGTCTCCCCCTCACCATCGTCTCCGACAGAGATACAAAATTCACCAGCACTTTTTGGCGTCGACTACAGGAACGCTTAGGCACCAAGCTTGCCATGTCCTCCTCCTTCCACCCACAGACGGACGGCCAGTCGGAAAGGGCCATTCAAACCCTCAAGACCATGCTGCGCGCCCTGGTGAATCACAAACAAGACGACTGGGACCTGTACCTACCTGCCGCCGAGTTCGCATACAACAATGCGGTCCACTCGTCCACAGGCGTCTCGCCATTTTTTCTGAACCATGGTTTCCATCCTCGAGTACCGGCCTCTCTCCTCGGACCCACGGGTGTCTCTGACCCTGCTTCCTTGTCGGACTTTGACTCGTTTGTCTATGCTCAGCAATCAGCCCTCGCTACTGCCCGCGATAGTCTCCTTACCGCACAAGCCGTACAGGCCAAGCATGCCGATGCTCACCGTCGTTCCCACTCTTACCAAGTCGGCGATCAAGTCCTTCTTAGCACCGAGAACATCACAACAGCCTACGACTCCAGCCGACCAGCCTCCTCCCTTCAGGCCCGTTACTTTGGTCCCTTCACCCTGCTGGCACAACGTTCGCCGGTCTCCTTCCAGGTCGAGCTTCCTCCCACCATGCGCATTCATGATGTGTTCCATGTCGACCGCCTCAAACCATACCTCCCCTCCCCGGAGTCGTTGGGCCGTCGGGTAGCACCTCCACCCGACCCCGAAATTGTTGATGGAGAAATTGAGTACGAGGTTGAAGCCATCTTGGACCACCGCACAAAGCGCCGCAAGATCGAGTTTCTTGTCAAATGGCTCGGATACGATGCAGCCAAGGACTCCACCTGGGTTCCCTTCAAGGACATGGCCAATAGTCCGGATATTCTTCGCACATACTGTCAAACACACGATCTGCTTTATTTATTAGGGGAAGGTGTCACAGTATCATAATCTGTTGTGACCCTAGATCATTAGCGTCATCTAACCACTGTCTCATCTAACCACATTATCACCTAATTACATCCCCATCTAACCACATCACCACCTCACCACATCACCACCATCCTGGAGCCCATAGCCTAGCACACATAAATACCCTGGCTCCCCTGTACAATAAACACCATCCGTTTCTGCCTCCTGCTCTTGTCTATCACCCTTCTTCTGTTGCTATTACAACTGAGGCTTTATCTGCTCATCCTTAGTTGGCCGTCGTCGTCGAAGCTCCTCGCGCATTTCTGTTGGAAGGACAGGGGTTTTGGCGAAGCAGTTGCGCAGTGTGGAAGGTTTGATCTCACCCCATGCGTCTGGGATCAGTTGTAATAGGAGCAGAGCAAGAGAGAAGAGGCAAGGGTGATGGCAAGGAAGGAAGGCAAGAGGCAAGGATAATAGCAAGGGAAAGAGACAAGAGGGTGTAGGGACAAGAGGAAAAGGCAAGAAGGAATGAGGTTTATTGTACAGGAGGGACAGGGTATTTATACGTCTATGGTATGAGGGATTATGGAGGCCTTTCACGTCCAAGTTATCATATGGTGTTTGTTACATCTCTGTAGATCTCGACAATATCCATAGCGACTATGGGATGAGAATGTATATATGATACCAAGCATATAAGACAACCATTGTAACATTTTTTGTTTAACTATCCTACTAAACACCAACCTATTCTCCAAACAACAAAGTCTTCTTATTTTTCGCACACCAAACTCTTGAATATGTCCATCTACTATTAACCTGTAACCCTCACTGCAAGATTCGACAGAGTAGTTCTTGTATGTGATCATCTAAAGCACTTGTATTCTCAACTGTATCTTTGTCGTGAAATACAGGGGAGAGATTACATTTTAAAAATTCTTGTGCTGTCTATTGCTATTTTATTCTGTGTTCTGTTCCCCACTATGAAGAGATATGCCAGTTATGGAAGTCAACACTCCGTTCCTTGGACTTTGGATATTTTTTATATGCCTTTTTATATCCTCTGCACATGAAGGGGCCGCTATGGTGAAGTAATAATAAGCAGGGGTAGTGTATAAGACAGACACACAAGATATTAACAAGGAAGTAAGGAACAAGGCAGCCAAAAGCAGGAGGCAATCTACAATCCTGTTACATCAGTGTCCAAGCGCGCCCATTAGAGATAGTCGTAGTTTGGTCGAAGTTACGAGCAAGATATATTTCACGGCCAAGTTTCTCCAGAAACGCTCGTTTGAAAGCGCTGATAACGCCGGCATCGAGAGGTTGGGTAACCGATGTCGAGTTTGTGGGTAGTCGCCGGATGCAAAGATACTTCCAAGGAATTCCCTGTTGATGGTCGCGCATATCGACATCATTGTGTGATCCTGCGGAATCCAGAAGAAGAAGAATTGGCTGTGAGAGCTCATCATCCAACTGTTCCAGCCATCGTACGAATACATCGCCGGTCATCCATCCTTTCTTCGTTCTCACCATGATCATCTTCGAGGCCGCCTCTTCTTCAACGTCTGTAGGGATGTGTTCGCCTAATGGGTATCAAGCAGTCATAAAGGTTAAGATCTGAAAAAAGAATGCTGTCATTTGTAGCACTGTCATACATATAGTATATTACCGATAACCACTGGCCTCAATGACTGTTTAGTCTTGGCCAAGGCGAGAGACGTGCCAGAGGCATTGATGCAAAATAAAATGGATACTTTGCAGTCCCGGAGAGCCTTGGCGCCAGATTTGAAAAGCGATGTCGTGTAAGATTTGGTGTCCAGTTCCTTTACATACATCCCAGTCTCATCGCAGTTGAAGATAGTGTCGGGAGTGTACTGGGCGCAAAGTTGGCGAATTTCAACGAGCTCGGGCTCGATTGCCTCCAAATCGACCGATCCCGCCTCTCCATGAAGCTGACAATACGAGATACGATGCTGTTTCCTGAGAGAGTCGAACCAATAGGCCGAAAAAGATAACGGCACCTCAGATACAGTGCTACCCGAATCGTCCTTGAGATCGCAAAGAACCATACATGCGAAATGAGCTGCTTCCTTCATCATCTTGCCCGTCACAGGAACATTCTTCTTGCGTTGATCGTGCAGCCAGTAGAGCAGGGCCTGCTCGATCACTAGACCCTTCCGCTTGACGATGTAATGAGCGCCATCGGGAAGTGTCTTTGCTGCAGCACGTAGCTATTGATTGACATATTGTAAGTAACAGGAATCTTAATAAATTACTTTTAATGTATACAGCTCTTGGCAGCCTGTTGAAAATAATAATATACCTTATCTTCTCGGCTCAGCATGCGTTCAAAGGTTTTTCTTGGAAGGTTGACTCCTATCGCAGGTCCATAGGAGCGGGGGGAAAGCTTGAAAAATGGGATGTTCTCCTTCCGTTTTTCGAGATAGCGATATATGTCCAGCAGCTCGACTTGCGCTTGTAGGGAGCGAGAGACTCTTGCACGCGGAATCTCGAACTTGTCGGCAGTAGGGAATACAATGATAGCAGCCATGTCATCGTTCCTAGCGCTGTTCAAAAGGTCGTTGTATCGCAGTCGGCGAGTGGCGTTGATCTCTTCAAGCTTTCGGCTGGTGTATGTTTTGTCCTTCTTGGAGGTGAGCTGAGGAGGGGCGGGTTTCTGCTTTTGGGCTCGCGTCTTAACCTCATCCGCGAACGAGCGGCGTCGACGCTTGACTTTATTCGTTGCCATGGTGAATGACTGGTTACTGAAGTTACAAGATGCGTCCATGGTGAATGTAAGAGTGATGTAAACTACACGTCAATGCTCACGTGCACTATATACTCGGGACTGTGTTTTCAAGTTTTAGAATACTTCTTTCATGGAGGTAATTCAGTCTGTTTGTTTCGTTTATCGGCCCATTTTCACTAGTAAAATGGGCCCAAAACCCATTTTCGACTGTACATACTTCCTCTTACACTTTCCTACCTTTCTGCCTGTTTCCTGGCAGGAGCACACTGGCCCCCCAAGCTTGTGCAATTGTGCGGCGGATTTAGATCCCAAATACACTACCATTTCACGCTGACCTTGTTCGGGTGTTAATGGGCGACAGGGAGACTATTGCTGCTAAACCGCTTGCAAAATTCGTTTATTCGTTTCTCGCTACTGCTTCTCCAACATGGGCTTCTTCTCCGCCCTATCTGACGAGCCAGTCTGGTCGCTGACTCGCTTGGTTCCCTTCACACTGTCGAGCAAATCGACTACTCCTCTAGGCACAAAATCCCGCATATTGCTCCCGTCAATGATCATGAGAAGCTGCATCAATGGCCCGTTGGAAGTATGGCTACGATTAGCTCCACTCTCAGAATCCGTGTCCCAAAGCTCGTCGCGATCCCAGCCCTTTCGCAGCGTCTTTTTGATTGTAGGGTGGACGTAGACCAAGCTGAGATACTTTCCGCCAGGGCAGTACGTGGCCAGGTTCGGTAGATGATCCTTGATTCTACTCTCATGTACTGTTAGCCGCGCTTTCTCCACCCCTCCTGGATAGATGCCGTCGAGAAGCTTTGTCTGGACAAATACGGGGTAGAGCTCATTGTTGATTCGCAGGACAAAGACAATGTCGGGCCCTGAAGGAGACAGCTCTGGGTAGAAAAATGGTGGTACCACACAGCCGTCCTTTCTCGAGTCATTCCTGTAGTGTGCCTCCAAAAAGTCGCGCATTGTCAGTGCGTCCTTGTACCGAGCTCCCCACTCATAGCCTTCCCATCCAACTATCGCTGCTGGATACTCAAACAAATGCCTCGGGAATGTGACCGGCTCAAAAGTAGGGATGGGGATCTTGGGCGGCTTCAGGTGCACGGCGGGCTTGGGGATCGAGAACAATTCCTGCTTGAGCTGTTTCTTGTGGAAGGCGTAGATTAAGTCCAAGGGTGCATGCCGCTCAAAGAGCTTCCCTTCCGAAGGAGGATCCTGCAAGTCTCGGTACTGTTCTCTGAAGTAATTGTAGAATCCTTCGTCTTCTTTCTGGATCAAGTTGTAGGCAGCCTGGAACACGAAGGGTTCGTCAATAATCGTCTTGACCGTCTTCTCAGTAGCAGCCTGGTCAGCGGAAATGTGAAGACGGGCGAAGGCACTCTCGACCAAGATTGGCTCCTCTCCCTGCAGGCTCCAAGGAAGTCCCAGCGAGGCTCGAAAGACAACGGTCTGCCTGAGAACGTGCCTGATATCGATGGCGTCCTTGAACTTGGCTGGATCCTTGGCGACTTTGTCGAGCATCCTCTTGATGTCAGAGCAAAGGTTTCCACGCACTGGGAAGCGCTCAGGATAGCACACTAATGAGTGGACTCTTTGTTCGACAGCCTCCTTCCAGTATGACGGAGATCCTTTGGCAATGATCTCCTCTATAGTGGTGAGGAAAAGGAGGTGGCAAGTGGCTAGGAGGGACGATTAGAGATTTACAGGCGGGAACCGAAATCGTTGACGAGGCGATTAGCAGATGCAAAATGTAATGGTACGTTACCAATTGTCGAAACGATTGGACGGAAACGACCTCGAAGCCCGAAAAACAATTCTTGAATGGCTTCTTCCGGTATCAACGTATGAAGCCTGGCTTTGTCGTCCCCACACATCAGATCCCCGAGATTGTTGATGTACGTTGCCACTTGGTCCACGGTTTCCCAGCCCGGAAAGTCGACAATTCGGCGATTGACCTGCTCCCAGCTGCTTCCAATGCCGCCTAAACTCAACAGGACCTCGAGTTCATCGGCACTAATGCCGGTACCACATGTCACCACGCAGTAGTTCTGAGTGTTATTCGAAATGCTCCTCAATCCGTGGATGATAGGAGAGAGAATTGATCTCAAGTCGCCGGAATCCGCGCGAGACACGAAGCAGTCCTTCCCATGATCGCTTAGCGTCTGGGCTTCATCGAGAACAACGAGAAACTTGCTAGGTGGAGAGTCAGAGGCGTACGAGGAGAGCAGGCCTTGAACCAGGTGGAATTGAGCCTGCAATAGGCGCTTCAAGTTGGGAAAAGAAATCGCAGGTATCTGGTTGTGATAGACATCAAGTAGGGCCAGGAAAATGCTGTCAAAGACATCCGGTACAGCGGGTTCAAAGGCTCCCGGACACACTTGGAGTAACATCCAGCGGTCACAAGTAAATGTGTCATGGCGGCCGAGACTCAGACAGTATTGTAGGACCAGAAGGCGTGCAAGGAGAAGACAGCCCGTAATCGCCTGGATATTGAGACCATTCTGTACTCTGTCTGACGACAAATATCGCGCCGGCATTTCTTTTGCTGATTCGAACAAAGTGGTGATATCCTTGGAACCTCGATCGGCCTGACTGCCGTTCAGATAGAACCCCCATGTCTGTGCAAGCATTTCGACGACAGCTCGAGTCTTCCCACAGCCGCTCACGCCGAAGAAAGTGATCAAGTCGTTGTTCTGGAAGTTGCTGATCGTTTCTAGAGCTGCCACTGATGGAGGTGTCGTTGTTGATGTCGTCTGGTGTGGTTGCGTTGGGTGCAGTAGGTACAGAGCAGGTCGAGCTGACTTTTGGGCAAAGGAACTTGATCGCAGCCATGCCTTTGGCAAGCCTTTGACACAGCAGTCTGCCTCAGGAAGAGAGAGCTCGCCTTCCACGAACAGGCGAAGAAAGTTTGAAGTGGCAGATCCTGGCTGAAAGAACTCCTCCTTAATCCCTTCTATGCGCGTTTGGACTAACAGGAAATATGAGCATTAGAAACCATTATTGCCAGCACAGAATAAAGACTGGACTCTAAAGATCATGTAGTTCTCGTACATGCTTCCGTCTCTTGTTCCAATAATGGCGGTGATGGAGTTCGAACAGGTGCATGGACTATATTGGTGGGATTGGATGAGTGCTACAGGTTAATGCATGGGCCAGAGTCGACGTGCAAACAGCAAGTCACAAAAAGCAATAAACGCGTGTATGCATTACCTTGAGGAGGGCGCTGAACGATAATGTAGGTGTTGTCGTCGGGACTCGCGGCAAACAGCGTGGAGAGGAGTGCTCTAGGGTTGTTCAGCTCCGTCTTGTCGTGAATGGTTCCGTCGTCATGAATGGAGACACGGCTGAGGGAGAGCTTGTTCGCATCAACATCGCGGAAATCGTTGGGTTTCTTGCGTAAGATTGCGTCTTTGAGATCGCCGATGGTCTTGGTTGACTCGATCTCGACAGGGAACGCGTTGGTGGTGGCCTCTCCATCGACAAGACAGAACAGCTTCAGAAGGTTGTTGGACATGGTGTTGTGAAGAATGAAAGGAAAGTAAGTGGAAGGGGAAAGGTGAGGGTTGTAAACGGAGTGAGGGTTGTGGAGAAGGTGCGGGGTGTAGTGAGGGCAAGGGGTGAATGAAAAATGAAGAAAAAAAAAAAAAAAAAAAAAAAAAAGAGAGAAAAGAGAAAAGAGAAAAGAGAAAAGAGAAAAGAGAAAAGAGAAAAGAGAAAAGAGAAAAGAAAAGGGATAGAAGAAGGTGTGGGGTTAAAAGAGGGAAAGTAAGAAGGGATGAAAAACTATGGCGATGGGTGTGGAAATAGCAATAAGGGCGGTGAGAAACAAACTGATGGTTAAGGCGGTGAAGAAAGCGCGTGGTGGGCGTTGGAAGTGTGGGAATGGTGGCAAAGGCAACAAATGGTGACTTCGGCTGACGTAAGAGAGCAGGGCGCGAGAATTACGTCACCGAAGTGAGTAAATGTCACTTGTTTTCCTTCGCTGCTTTCCTTGCTCTCCGTTTTTTTTCTGTGGGATCCGTGGGCTCCATGGCTGCGGGACTGCAGGACCCTCTCCTTTTCGCCACCTTCAACGCCTCTTAATCACCTTGCCATCATTCGATTCCTTTTTCTATCACTCCTCCCACATCTCTTTGCTGTGCCACCCTCCCCATTCTTTATGTGTTGTCTTTCCCCCCTTTTTGCACTCTCTCTTCCACTTTGCTTTCCGTTTGTTTCTCACTACCCATCGTTCCAGCGAACAAGCACAAACCGACTGTCCTGAATGAGGTTGAGTCACCAACAGAACTTGACCCAACAGACGATGTTTCCGATGTCTTTCCAAAGACACCACCCAAGAAAACGATCCACGTTATCATCCGGCGCCCTCCTTCAAATAATGCACACACGCGTGCTTTTTCATTCACACCTTGCACATGTGCACATACTGTGTCCATTGTGCATGCACTAATTTATCCTCTCATCCAATCGCACTGATATAGTCCATGCGCCTGTTCCTGTTCCACTCCATGCTCGCAGCTCCACCCCTCTCTTAGACGACTCTCGCCCCGGCACGCTGCTATCTGGTATGGACCCACTTATGTCTTTTTGTACTTTATCGTTGTTATTCTTTCGAGTGTTAAATGTTCTTACATCGCCCTTTTATCCCGTGCAAATAGGCGACCTCCATAGCGACATCAAAAAGATCACGGACAAGTTCTTTGCACCAGGGTCAGACGTGGCCAAATTTCTCGACGCGTTCGTGGGAGGCCAAGGAGCACTGCCCACGGCGACTGGGCCCATTCTAGGTTTACCAAGTGCTCGGCGTCGCGGATTCGGCCATCCACCAGAGACTTTGTCCTTTATTTAGACGCGAAGGTGGATCCTGTTCCAGCTGGTATGGGTAGGTTACAAGGAGTTGCCTGAAACGACAGATCATGTCGGCCAGCGACTATGACACTGATCTTTACTTCGCTCGTTGGAATATGCTGAAAATCCAATCATTTCCTCGCCCTACGCCTCTACTCCAATCCCAGGGTATCTTGTGTACGGGAAGTCTGACCAGAGCTCTTTCTTTCCGTTGATGGCCTAATCATGAGTACCTTCCGTTGACCCAAGATGGTTGCAGGAGCCAAGGACCTTTGGATATCGATGGAGCTGCGACCTGTACTCCTTAACAGGATGTACATGGAGAGACGAAACTCATCCCCCGAATCCCATCCAAAAATCATATTAGAGCCATCCTCAGTCTCAACATGTATGTTCGTTTAACTCAGTTTAGGAGATCCTAACTGACTGTTGCCTGCATGTTTTGGCTGCAATGCATGACATAGCTACGTATGTATCAGTTAGAGATACTACAAGAAAGGTCAGGAGCTAGTAAGCAAACCCTTTTCCATGTTGCAGTGTTCTCTGTTAAAGCTAAATTTCGGTTTCACTTTGCTTGACCAATAAATCAATCGTCCACCGAACTATCAACTTTTCTTCTTGCCTTTTCACCAACCTTGCCCCCGCTGCTTTTCCTCTTCATTATTGAACATGAACAACAACGGCCGCGTCCAATGCAAGGACCCACACTGCATCAACACATACAGCACAAGGTGTGACATGCAACGACACTATCTAGCAAACACACTGAAACGAGATTCCCCTGCCGTTTTCCTGGTTGCGAAACACACTTCAGCATGGACAACAACCGCGTCAAACATGAGCGAAAGTATCAGCTGTGCCACTGCCACGGTACAAGGAACAATCCTTGTAACCAGATCATCCAAGGAACACCAAACTGGATAGTTCACCAGAAAATCCACCAACCACATCCTTGCCCGGATCCAGATTGCGACAAAGGTTACACCATGCGGAAGTCACTCCTTAAACACCTGAGGGATACCCACACAAGCAACAACCAGCCTCAGTCCAGCTTTGAACTTCCATCGACGTCGATCCCAACTGTCCCATCACCTGAGCCCATGTGACAATAAAGAAAGATACACACAGATGGAGTCCCTGGAAAGGAAGAATAATTATTGTTTTTTTTTTTTTTTTTTTTTTTTTGTCAACCTCAGCACCTGACCTCGTCCGTTTGTAGAATTCAAGGTACCAGTTGTGTACAAGGGAAACAGGGTCCAGGGGATAGAGCCGAATACAAAGTGGTACGAGTTCATTTACAAGCCAGGAACGACGCCTCTGGAGAAGAATGTAAGAATAACAAACAGTCAGTTGTGTCGTCTTCAATTCACTAAATATATTTGATGTAAAGGATACCTCAGTCTAACTATATCTGAGTATAATACTATTGACACAGGACAAGGGACTCACTCCTCATCCCGAGCACTGGCTTGATGGTAGAAAGCTCTCGCGAGGCGAAAAAGCAGGCTTTGATCTACTCTCCAAATTTAACTTTTTTGTGTCATCCACATTTCACGGAAAGAGTTGCGAAGTCTGTCGGTCTGAGTTGGAACATTGGCATATAGGATTGAAAGAGAGGGAGTCCTGCCTGAACGTCATGGCGACATTTGCCCTCGATGTTGCAGTAAATGGAGAAATGAAGAGGTATGGAGGCCATACATATCCTGCTCCAGCAATCATAGACTACAGTATAATAATATCTGTCGGCACCTATTAAAACAGTGTAATCCTTAAGAGTACAACAAATGTCATCAGCTTTTTTCTTCCACCAGTCTCCATTTTCTACATTCACCACCACTACTTTGTAACATCATCTACTTTAGCTGAGAAAGCCTTGGACATGATCATCTCATATTGGATCCTGGATATTACAGATAGATCCTGGATATTACAGATAGTAATTTCCTTTCCAATATGAGATGATCATGTCCAAGGCTTTCTCAGCTAAAGTAGATGATGTTACAAAGTAGTGGTGGTGAATGTAGAAAATGGAGACTGGTGGAAGAAAAAAGCTGATGACATTTGTTGTACTCTTAAGGATTACACTGTTTTAATAGGTGCCGACAGATATTATTATACTGTAGTCTATGATTGCTGGAGCAGGATATGTATGGCCTCCATACCTCTTCATTTCTCCATTTACTGCAACATCGAGGGCAAATGTCGCCATGACGTTCAGGCAGGACTCCCTCTCTTTCAATCCTATATGCCAATGTTCCAACTCAGACCGACAGACTTCGCAACTCTTTCCGTGAAATGTGGATGACACAAAAAAGTTAAATTTGGAGAGTAGATCAAAGCCTGCTTTTTCGCCTCGCGAGAGCTTTCTACCATCAAGCCAGTGCTCGGGATGAGGAGTGAGTCCCTTGTCCTGTGTCAATAGTATTATACTCAGATATAGTTAGACTGAGGTATCCTTTACATCAAATATATTTAGTGAATTGAAGACGACACAACTGACTGTTTGTTATTCTTACATTCTTCTCCAGAGGCGTCGTTCCTGGCTTGTAAATGAACTCGTACCACTTTGTATTCGGCTCTATCCCCTGGACCCTGTTTCCCTTGTACACAACTGGTACCTTGAATTCTACAAACGGACGAGGTCAGGTGCTGAGGTTGACAAAAAAAAAAAAAAAAAAAAAAAAACAATAATTATTCTTCCTTTCCAGGGACTCCATCTGTGTGTATCTTTCTTTATTGTCACATGGGCTCAGGTGATGGGACAGTTGGGATCGACGTCGATGGAAGTTCAAAGCTGGACTGAGGCTGGTTGTTGCTTGTGTGGGTATCCCTCAGGTGTTTAAGGAGTGACTTCCGCATGGTGTAACCTTTGTCGCAATCTGGATCCGGGCAAGGATGTGGTTGGTGGATTTTCTGGTGAACTATCCAGTTTGGTGTTCCTTGGATGATCTGGTTACAAGGATTGTTCCTTGTACCGTGGCAGTGGCACAGCTGATACTTTCGCTCATGTTTGACGCGGTTGTTGTCCATGCTGAAGTGTGTTTCGCAACCAGGAAAACGGCAGGGGAATCTCGTTTCAGTGTGTTTGCTAGATAGTGTCGTTGCATGTCACACCTTGTGCTGTATGTGTTGATGCAGTGTGGGTCCTTGCATTGGACGCGGCCGTTGTTGTTCATGTTCAATAATGAAGAGGAAAAGCAGCGGGGGCAAGGTTGGTGAAAAGGCAAGAAGAAAAGTTGATAGTTCGGTGGACGATTGATTTATTGGTCAAGCAAAGTGAAACCGAAATTTAGCTTTAACAGAGAACACTGCAACATGGAAAAGGGTTTGCTTACTAGCTCCTGACCTTTCTTGTAGTATCTCTAACTGATACATACGTAGCTATGTCATGCATTGCAGCCAAAACATGCAGGCAACAGTCAGTTAGGATCTCCTAAACTGAGTTAAACGAACATACATGTTGAGACTGAGGATGGCTCTAATATGATTTTTGGATGGGATTCGGGGGATGAGTTTCGTCTCTCCATGTACATCCTGTTAAGGAGTACAGGTCGCAGCTCCATCGATATCCAAAGGTCCTTGGCTCCTGCAACCATCTTGGGTCAACGGAAGGTACTCATGATTAGGCCATCAACGGAAAGAAAGAGCTCTGGTCAGACTTCCCGT